TTCTTTTATAATATTTAATAAATGCCGATTACTTTCTAATCACTGGTTTGGTGATAGGCTTAAAAGCCAACAAGGGAGCATTGAAGCATTACTGAAAAGGTGAACCTGATATCTCCCCATATCACGGTTTTATAAACCAACAAACAACAAGCCAACAAGAGAAAACTAACCTCTGAAGAATAAAAAGTAAATCAGCCAGCACGGAACCTGCATCCCACTTCATGAGAAGGACTGACCTTTCTCTGGGTACAGAGTTTTGCAACTGGCCTTTTACTAAGTTATTTCTTCCTCTGCAGTCCCAGATATGAAAACACTCTTCGCTGTCAGTTCAGACAAACTGATTTTAAATTAACAACTGTTTAGTCCTCACATCTTCCTTGCAGTGAGATTCCTCATCCAGCTTCTCTTCCCGGCCACCCCTCGCCTTGGCACCATATGAGCCCAGTCAGTACAAGCACTACAATTGCTCTGTGCCCAGCATCTCCACCTCCGTGTTGTCACGTTTGGTGTCCTTGTCGTTCCCCGGTCCAGTCATGGTTCACTGCACACCCACTCCACTGCCCTGAGTGCACATTCGCAGTCTCCATTTCCAGCACGGCTGCTGTTACTTACACTCCATTATGGCTACCCAGGACTTCCTCATGAGGCTTATCTACTCCTTCATGATTACTTTGTTTGTGTTCATATCCTCAATATTTTCATCAAAAGCCTTGAGATTAGCATGGGAGCCCTGACCTCACCTGAGCATTACCTGTGAGTATATATGTGAATGAATATGGAACTCAGAACAATCATAGAAGAAAAGTATTTATCTAATGAAAGCAATGTGTTTGAATCATTCATAGATCCAAATGTACTTATATTTGGAATCAAAGGTGGGGACAAGACAGTCAGTAATTTAAATGTAAGGTAAAGAGATAAGCATAGAAGATGACCAAGGAGATCAACACTGAGGTGGACGGAGCCATTACATGTTCTAGCTTCCTGCTGGGACTGAAGACTTTGGCGCAAAAGGAAAAGAAGATATTTGCCTTTGAGCGTGCTCATGCAATTTCAGGATTGGAAGAGACTCTGGGGGGGAATCTCAAGTATCTGGACAATCAGCCGGCACGGAATCTGCATCCCACTTCATGAGAAGGACTGACCTTTCTCTGGGTACAGAGTTTTGCAACTAGCCTTTTACTAAGTTATTGCTTCCTCTGCAGTCCCAGATACGAAAACACTCTTCGCTGTTATCCTTATTTCATGGGTCCATATAGACCAGTCATCTCTCTAGTCTCTTCAAATGAATGATCCTGCTGTACCCGAGCAGTCCTATTAATACTTATTTCTTTGCTGTCTCTGTATCACATCACAATGACATCCCTACATTGCCTTTCAGGAGCCAGACTCTGAAAACGACGTGCACGTTCACTCGCATAGCCTAGTTGTACACCTGGATGTCTTGACATTAACTCAGGATTAGAAGGCTGTCCATGGGGTGTAAGGACCCAGGTATAGGACTTATAGACATTACCTGGAATCAGTAGCAAAGAAATAAAAATATCTATGAAAGGGCCAAATGCTTCCACTTGGCCTTGCCAAGCCAAGAAAGCTGTTTCTGCTCTTGTCTGTCCTCTTCTCGTAGAGAATGCCTCTCCAGCATCTACTCTGCATCAGGGATAGAATGAGAGAAAGACACAAGAACTCCTGACTCCCTTAAGTCATTCATGATTCAGGCAGGGAGATGACATCTAAAGTTGTTTATGCTTAAATACAAGTGAAAAAAGTAGGGCTCAATGTGTCATTAACATGACACAATGTCATGTTAATATTTGGAAAAATGTCTGCTTATTAGAAACTGAAAGTGAACAGTGACTAATCATTTTAAGGTGGTGGCATTGGAAGTGATTTAAAAATTTCATTTGTCTAAACATTTTTATGTGCCGTATTCCTGTATAAGGCCTTCTTAAAAAGCATGATTTAAAAGTTGGAAAATGGTGTCAAGTATCACAAAAATAATGTGAGAAATTTGGGAAATCATAGTCATTCATTATATTCCTTTATTTAATACATCTTTCAAACATCCTTAATTCCTAGGCCTTATGTAGGAAGTTGGCAAAATGAGATGCATGAAACACAGTCCTTTCCCTTATGGTGCATTTAGCCGGTAGGAAAAACCATCTGCGGGATAGAATGTCAGCCTCGATGCCCATACGGAGCCGACAGCCCGGTAACGGTGTAAGTGCTGGCTTGTTCTCACCCACTAGTCTCTCCTGATGGCTCGTATGTCAGCAGGGGAGAAACAGACGAAGTCAGGCCTTGCCTTGAGCCTCACCCCAGCAAGGCATCGCCTCTCAACCATGTTTCTCACATGGCAGCACACAGAAAAATTGGCAACATCTGTAGAAAGCCCTTCGGTGAACAGAAAGGCTGCTTCTGCTGGGCAGGTGTCAGGGGTGGGAGGCAGCCCCTCAGCACCCCAGTTATTTGTATCAGTTGGGAAACTACACTGAGGGAGACCTAAACTTTCTAGTTTAGGAGAGTGGGAGAGGGGAAAAGTTGTAAAATGAAGGTGAGGGGGAATTTGGAGCAGTGAAGAGACCTAAGTAAGATCCTGTCTCCTGGGGTTATAAGCGGGCGCCGATCTCTGTGACGCTCATTTGAGTCTCAAGAGTTCATTCACTGCTCGTGTCTTTGTTCATAAATCCACTGGAATACCAAGTACTAGAAACCAACGGGGCTGCATTGAGTTGTTTGTTAACAACTCGTGTCTCCAAAATGGGATGGTGAGTTCCGAGGTGCACCACGCACTTAACTTAACCCACAGAGACGGGATCCACGGGGCTTTGACTTGGTATGACTCGAGCCATGGCAAGGACAAGCAACCCCGCGGCATTCCTTGGTGCTGCCCCCACAGAGAACAAAGTCGTTTCCATTGCACTTGCCACCACTCCGCACATGGCTTCCGAGTGAGAAGAGGTGCGAGAAGAGAGGAAAGACCAGAGCACGGAAGCAGGGCTTAGTCCGTCAGCAGAGCGGGGTGCTGCCCCTTGCATTTGGGAGGCCATGTGGGCTTCACGCAGGCAGGGGCAACTCCTCAGGTTGTGCACGGTGGGAGCTGGACATGGATCAAAAGGAGATGCTTCCTTTGGAATGTTTCCTGTTCTACTGGCTTCGCACAAAATGAAAATGGGAGCTACGTGTGAAACGAAGCATTTTCACAGAAAGAAATTTCCACTGCAGAATGGATGTGGAAATCTCTGAAGTGATAACAATGTTTATACAGTGCTCAGAGTTCTATGACTGTCCTTGTATTACAGATCAGGAAACTGAGGCACAGAGAAGTTAAGTGCATCGTCGAAGGCCACAGGAAGCAAATGGTAGAATTAATGTTTAAGCCCAGGCAGACGGGTCGTAAAGGAACTCTTCGTTTTGTTTTGTTTTGTTTTAAAGATTTTATTTCTTAAACAGACAGAGATCACAAGTAGGCAGAGAGGCAGGCAGGGGGTTGGGGGGAGCAGGCTCCCCGCTGAGCAGGGAGCCCAATGTGGGGCTCGATCCCAGGACGCTGGGATCATGACCTGAGCCGAAGGCAGAGTCTTAACCCACTGAGCCACTCAGGTGCGCCGGAACTCTTTGTTATAAGATTTCTTTTTTTTTTTTTTAAAGAAAACAAAAGAAGTCCAAAGAGAAGAGGTTTTTTTGTTGTTGTTGTTGTTGGGTTTTTTTGGGTTTTTTTTTTTTAATTTTAGGATCTTAGTCAAAAAGCCAGCAAAACTGGGATTTGGGCCAACGCCCTGCCCCGCCAACCCATTCTGGATATGCGAATCTCAGGCCCTCCTGTCTCTAGGAAGTGTCACAATCACAGGATCAAAGCTCCTTGAGCAGGAAGGCATGTGAGCAGCCAGACGCTGTGGTTCTCATTGGTCAGAAAGGATGAGGCCACCGGTCTCGTCAAGGTCATGCCCACCAGAGAGGACCCATCAACTCTCAGACTCACAGACCTGGGCAGGGTCTATGACTCCTTACAGCAGCTCCAGGAACGTTTCTATCTTCCTCACATAAATGTTGGGGTGATTCTTCCTTCTTCAGGGTGATCTCACAAAGATGAAAAAAAAAAAAATTTGAAAGCAGCTGTCACTGTTCTCTGGCCCAGGGCAGACATAACAAAAAGACATTGGATTGACTTTTTCAGCAGTAATTTGTATAAAACTGAAAAGGAGAGAGGGTATTCAAGACCCATTCAGTGGCCTGGTCTCCACCAGGGCCCGTCTCTCTCCCTAAGCCTCTGACACCATTTGTCAGGCACTGGAGCAACAATTCACACATCAGCAAAGTCCAGAAGCTGAGCCCCAGTGTTAGTTCTCCAACTTGGCTCAGCAGAAGACGTGGGTGGGGGTGGGAGGGAAGGGCTGGGGTGGGAAGAGGGCGCAGAATGAAACCCGACTTTCTATTTCGACCTGTTTTCTACTTGGCACGTGTGTGCCTAGCGTACCAGACAGGCAAGGCTCTTTGCTGCTTGGTTTCTGTTTCTGTTTAGAAACATGATGCTTGGTGAGAAAGCAAACAACACCCTCATCGTTCCCACCGCGCTCGTGCCCCAGGGGACAGCAAGCCCTCGCATCCAGCTCCCAGCCTCACCCACAGGGCTGTCCGCTCTGCCCGTGCTCACCGTCTCACATCGGGGTCAGAGCTTTGGGCCGCTGCTTTCTGCCACGAATCCCTTCCTCTGGGACATGGCCCCCCTTAGTTTCAGATTGTCTCCCCGCCCAGGGCTGTGCTCTCTCCCCAGGTTAGAGGTTCAGCAAAACCATTTACATTGAACCCCTGTTTCCCCCCCCCCTTCTCTTTGGTGGCGTTTTTCCCCCCGTGAGACTGGAATGGAATCAAAGACAAATCTACCTTCCCTCTACATCTTCCAGGTCTGATTATCCTGGACTATGTCCTCCTGAGTCGGCCGTTGGCTGCATGTTTGACAAATAGACTGATGGGTTTGCTCCCTGGTGTTGACTGTCACTCTGACCAGATGACTGACTGAGTGATCAGCTGCTTCCCACTGTGGCCAGGCAGCTGGGCTGTGACAATAGAGATCATCAGGGTCCCTCCAACATAGCCCTGATCCTCTGGGCGACCCTTCTGACAGCTTCCTTCACCTCCTTGTTACGGAGCGTGTAGATGATGGGGTTGAGGAAAGGGGTGAGAAGGGCATACACCAGGGCGATATGCGAGTCCGTGCCCTTGGAGCGGCTCTCAGGTGGCCCCACATACACTGTGAAAGCAGAGGCATAAAAGAGGGCCACCACGGTCATGTGGGAGGAGCAGGTGGAGAAAGCCTTGGCCCGGCTGGCCGCTGATGGCAGCTTCAGCACAGCCCTCAGAATACCCCCATAGAGTCCTAAAATGAGCACAAAGTTGCAGCCAGTGGCCACACCAATCACTGCTCCATGGACTCGAGCGTGCCAGCCTGTGTCCACACACGCCAGCCGCATCAGTGGGGCCAGGTCACAAAAGTAGTGGGCCACCTCTTTCCAGCAGAAGGGCAGACTGGCCGTGAGGCCGGCTGGCACCAGTGCCGCAGAGAAGCCGGCCCCCCACGTGGCCCCCGCCAGCCACAACCGCACCTTTCTGCTCATGAGGGCGTGGTAGTGCAGCGGGCGGCAGATGGCCAGGTAGCGGTCCAGCGCCATGACCCCCAGCAGGTAGCACTCGGTCATGCCCAGGGAGTGGAAGACGTACAGCTGGATGAAACACGCAGCGGCCGGGATGGGTGAGCGCCCGTGGAGCCATGTGTGCAGCAGCGTGGGCGCCGTGGTGCTGACGTACCAGAGCTCCAGGAAGGAGAGGACGCTGAGGAAGAAGTACATGGGCGTGGACAGCACCGCATCTGCCCGCACCAGCACGATGATGAACAAGTTCCCGGCCAGCGTGAGGATGTAGATGCACAGCGTGCCCAAGAACGCCAGGGGCCGCAGCGTCCTGGGGGCCGCAAAACCAGCAAGAAGGAAACTCGGGATCCATGTGCGGTTCAGCGGGTCCATGTCTCCTAGGAACTAGAAGCCAAGGCCCCCAGTCCCAGCCCAAATCTTTCCTAATTTATAATATTGGGTTCTAGAGAGCCAGGCACCTGGATTTTGTGTCCATTCCACCATCAGGAAATAGAACACATAGGAAAATTCCTACCTGTATCCTTCCTACACTTTCCAATGATGAAAAGACCAGCAAAACTGGGGTGTGGAAAAGAAAGGAGTCATCCCCCAAATGTGACTGTCAGAGATTCTTTCTGGAAGCCCCGCTAGTGCTTATGGACTGTGCCCACAAGCTCTGGAGGGAGAGGTGGGAATGACGGAGCTGCGTGGGCTCTGGGAACAGGCCCTGACATCTCGGGTCTGTGGTGCCTGAAGGTGGCTCCTTCAGCAGACACGCTGTGTCTTTTGAAAGATGATCTCCACAGGAGAAATGCAACAGGAATTCTCATGGAGGAAAACCGTGAGGTCAAAAGTCCATGAGGGTAAGAAGTCCTGTGGTATAAAAAGAAGAGGCACCTCTGAATTGGGGATTTGGCTTTGGTACGTGCTCTGTCACTGACCAGCTATGCACACAGAGCTAAGCAACTTCTCCCCACATATGCTCCACTTCTTCTCTAAAATAAAATTAAAAAAAAAAAAAAAAAGTTTGAGCAGATGTTTTCTAAGACTCTTACAACACAGAAAACGTATGGTTCCCTAAAGTCACCAAAAAAGGTTTTTGGGGTGAGGGTTGAGATAAGTGACCTACACTAAGGTCCCAGACTTCTCCTCCCACCCCCAACACCCTAATGGTCTCTATTAGGAAAGGTCAGTGCCCTCCCTTTGTCCTCCACTTCCCTACGTTCACCTCTGCTGCCCCATCCCTGCCCATTACCTGTCTTTTTGGATGACATTAACACTCACAGCGTCCTCCTCAGCATCCTTTCTATCCCAAGACTCTCCCCTACTTATAGCTCATGTATCCAGACACACAAGTCTCCCTGGGCACTTGCTGTGTGCTCCCTGGGGTTGCTGGGTGTGACTGGGTCTCCCCCGGGGTTCCTCTGGGGCAGGAAGTTGGGTGCAGGGGGATGAGGCAGATCTTCTCCATTTCTCAAGCGATTTTTCTCAACTCTGCACCCCTGGCTGTAGGGCTCAGAATCCAGTCTCGGGGCGTTGCCTCGGTGGGCCACTACAAATCTGTGCGAGTTCCCTGTGGCTTCCTCTGAGGAGAGACAGGCCATCTCACATAATCCTGTGCACACGTGGACGGTAGGAGAAGTGAGTGTCATCTTTCTAAAAATTGCCTTGTAAAACTTCTTGATCAGCTCCATTGCCACCAAAGACAAGAGCTGGATGACCCAGGAAGACTAAACCATCAGTTTGTCCACAATTAGTCTTGCCATAGTTTGAGAAAGGTCAATTGCCCCAACATTTTTCTTTGGCTCCCTTCCTGTCCATGACGACCATGATGACCACCAGCAATGGCTGTCCAAGTCCGCTATCGCCCATTCACCGATGCACTCATCATCATGTGCCAAGTGCTGGCCCAGACCACCACCACCACCTCCCCCACCCCTGCCATTCTCCTTAGCCCACCACCACAATTACTGGTAGGCGGGACACCTATGTGCTCCTGATCCAGCTTCCTGTCATCCCTCTCAGGTTATGGCCGTCAGTATCACCTTCGTAAAGGTCCTGCAGTCAGCATCTGAACCCTGACCTCAACGGGGTACCATACATGTATGTGCCCTGGGTGGATATAAAGCCCATATAAATAACAGACAGAAATCATTAAACCATTGGAGAATAACAGATTCTCACTTGTAGATGCAAATGTGGTTTAACATTTAGGAATCAGAGACATGGGATAAGATTGTAGCATAACTGAATGGGCCCTCAATACATTAACCATGAGAGTTGCACATAGACTACATAGACTTAGAACCAAACATCATATGCCTTCGGGTCAACCGAGAAAATCTTCCTGTGAGAGCTAGAGTAGTTTACTTGGTTTTGACAATTTTACTTTAGAAAACAATGTAACCTCGAGATCAGATGAATCTCTACCTGAGTAAATATTTCACAGATGGTTGGACAGTTAGAGGTTCTCATTCAGTCATTTCTAGCCCTGACCCTAAACTCCCTGTCACCAGAACACCTGCCCTTCCTCCAGGATGGATGTTTGCTACTGCCATTTGGCAACGTTGCTGCATCCCCCACAGTCCCAAACACCAACACCCTGAATTTGCAGCCTCATTTATGGATCTGTGAGATTCTGAGACGGACTTCCCCATGCTCTGTAGTGCCTGATTCTAAAGCTACTGGCTGGGCAATGGAGTATATTATATTGACTGCATTTGCCTTCAGAAAGCAATCAATGAATCAAGCATGTGCGTTTGTAAGAAGCTTATACACAAACCCAGATCGATGCAATAATTTGTACTAAAGATTTGGCAGTGATTAAGTTAAAAGTAGCAAGAAGAAAGAATATGAAAATTGGAGTGTTCCAAGTGTACGCTTTTCTTGGCTAAGGAAGACACTTGTTTTCTCCACGTCATCCTCCCCCAGCCAGCTGTGCTCACCTAACATTTGTTCTGTATTAGCAGCAGAGCAAGACCAAGAGGTACCTTCTGATGCCTCCATCAAGCATTTACAGTGTAGCAAAAGGGAACAATGTAGCAACTGAGGACTGGGCCAGGGTGTTAAGTGAAGAAAGTAAAATTTCCAAAGTGTCAACATTTTACAATATGATTGTTAATATTTGAAGAGAAAAAAAGCCCATGTATGGGAAGCAGTCCGAAATAAGAGATGAGTAATTGTTTAAAAACAATTGTATAAGTGAGTTTTCATTTTTATTCAACTAAATATCCTGTATTATGGACATGTTTATATATAATATTGTTCTTCAAGGGGAAAAAAAGAAAGGGATCCAAAGGTTAAAAAGGGTGTTATCAAAAGTAGTTTAAATAGTATGAGGAGAGGGAAAACAACAGTGATTCTGTTCTTCATGAATTAAATGTTTTTATTAAGTGTTTTTTTTCCACACTATTAAGAAAAGTATGAGATATATAAAATATAATCTCTTTCCTCAAGATGCTTAATTTGGAATGAGTAAGACACACCCCAAAATAGGCATTTATAAAACAACGGGGGCACTTAAATGTCAGAAGAGATATTCAACCTGACTTATAGTAAGATTCATACAAATTTAAATACATTGAGGTGCTTTCCTCACCTTCAGATTAACAAAGATTCGGAAGTTTAAACATACCCTTTGCTGGCGGGGCTGCGGGGAAACATTCTGGTGCATTGCTCATTGGAGGACATTAGCTTGATCCATTTGGAGGAAAATCTAGCAATACTTAGGCTCACTGCACATCCTCTCTTATATCCCCCCAATGAGTAGCATGGATGTGTGGCTTCTGACTTCTTTCCGCCTCATAGCGGAAGAAAAAAAGCAGTATTTGTAAGATGCAATGAGGTGTACATAAAAGCTGCTTGCTGACCCATGCACATGGCCCAGAGGGCTGATTTCCTGGGGCTCTCACTTCCCACTCAAAGGGAGAGGTTCAGGGAGAGGAGTCAGTCTCTCCCCTCATGTCTGCATCTGGCAGGACGCCCTGCTCTAGGGACGACCAGAATGGAAAGACCTTGAAAAGCCCATGAATTAAGTGGGAGGGTGAATCCAGCACACTGCACTGAGGTCCAAGAGAGGAATGATTGCTGGTGGGGTTGGGAAGAGGACCTCCTCCCCGTCCTCCTCACTAGGTCTTCGGGAATTCTAATCACTCATTCATTCCTTTTTCATTTACTGTCAATGGACAGACACATAGGCTGCATATGAGGAGTCGGGTGGGATATGGACTTGCCGGAGTTGTTAGGTCAGCACGTCTGTCCCCATGGCAGGACTACAATCTCTACGGCTCACCGTGCAGTATTGAAGAGTAGGACCCGAACATTCACCGGGGGTGTTTTTGGCCTGCCACTGAGGAATGCCCTGACCCATGAGCTCCCCTCAGTAAGAGATACTGAGAGAGCACAGTGCAGGCAAAGATAAGGACCCCAGAGCCATGCATTAGAGCAAAGGGTTAATTTTGCAAGGGTAGGGAGAAACTCACAGGAGGCTCCAGGGCGATTTTGGAAACCTAGACCCATAGAAGATGCTTGATTTGGATTCTTACCAATTCCACTGACCCACACGTGAAGGCCATGATAGGTTCATGCAAAATGGGGCTTGCTCAGGGAAAGGAATTCCCACGGCAGAAACCTATGTGGCCAATTTGAAATAATAATGACCATCTCATATGTAGGGTTTATTAGTCTATGTGCTTTCCAGGTATAAAATAATGGAGCCCTCACAAGATTTACTTAAGTAAGATTCCACTGTGGCAGAATTTTCATTTTCCAGATGGGATTGAGTGCCTGGTGCAAGGTCATGGAACAAGAAACTGGTAGAGATAATGATTGATTGAATCAGGAATCAGGGCTTCAAAGGCCCTTCCGGAACCACCCCACTGCCCTGCCTCTGGGATAGTAAGGTGCTTTATTATTTATGGAACACCTCTGCACTGTCAGGAGCACTCAGGGTTAGGACCTTGTATGTGTTGTTTCCTTTAATCCTTGTAGAACTGTGTGGAGATCATTATACAGACGTATAACATGATGAGAGAATGGGTGTTTGAGAGAAGTTATGTGTTTTAAGGGCATAGAGGTGGCAAACTGGGGTTTAGACCAATACCTCCCCCCCTCTGTCCTGGATATGCAGATCTCAGGCCCTGCTTTCTCTAGGAAGTATCACAATCACAAAATCAAAGCTCCCTGGGCAGGAGGGAATGAGCAGCCATGCGCTGAGGCTCTGGTGGGAAGAGAGGACGAGGTCATGGGTGTCGCCAAGGTCAAACCTGCTGGAGTGGACCGGGACCTGGGGTTGGGTCCATGTCTCTCCACAGCAGCTCTAGGAATCTTTGTTAATTTTTTTAATCTTTACAGAAAAACAATTAAAAACAATTTTATGTGGACCAAGACCTGTCTCTGCCATGCCACAGTCCTATCTTTATCACCAACAAGCCATGCATCCTCAGGAAGGCCGGTCACCTCCCGGCCTGCAGTTCACTGGTCTGAAGAGCGAGAAGACAGGACTCGACGACCTCAGAGGAGAAGGAACTCGTGAGGGGTCGGGAGAAGAGCGGGGGTCAGGAGTGGCCGGGCCTTCCGGTCCCCACTTCTACTTTTTCCTGAGTCTGTTTTCTACTTTGTGCATATCTGCTTCATATATTATGGTTCTAATATTGTTTGTTTGTTTGAAAATATGGGACCAGATGA